ATGTCGTTTCTTTCTATCTATGCAGAGATCTATGCAGATAGGGCATTCAAGAAATGTCGTTTCTTTCTATCTATGCAGAGATCTATGCAGATAGGGCATTCAAGAAATGTCGTTTCTTTCTATCTATGCAGAGATCTATGCAGATAGGGCATTCAAGAAATGTCGTTTCTTTCTATCTATGCAGATAGGGCATTCAAGAAATGTCAGATAGGGCATTCAAGAAATGTCGTTTCTTTCTATCTATGCAGAGATCTATGCAGATAGGGCATTCAAGAAATGTCGTTTCTTTCTATCTATGCAGAGATCTATGCAGATAGGGCATTCAAGAAATGTCGTTTCTTTCTATCTATGCAGAGATCTATGCAGATAGGGCAACAATGTGCTTTAATTCTTGTTGTAAAGAAAGGGGAAAAAGCATTAACAATTTGATCTACAGTGGCAGGAACTCGTCATACCACATGAGCGTCTGTGGATCAAATTTAAGATTTAAGATTTAGTTTTTGCTGTAAAAGAATAAAGTGATTGATATCTATATATATATATATATATATGTATGTATATTCCATCAGGGGCGTAGGAGGGAAAGTGGAGGGGACGGTCCGCAACGGGTGGCACTTTTCTTTTTCTTTATTTTGAGTTACGGCATTTTCAACCCACTGCTGAGTTTTAAGTTTCCGTGGAGCATTTTGGACACGCCCCGGTCGGCACCCACCCCAGCTACGCCACTGTATTGTAACCAGCTGGGCAGTTCATCTGGAAAGATCAAGGCTCCCGAAATGAAAGAAAACCAAATATCCCTTGTCAGTCTTCATGAAATTTTCATCTTGCTCAATTATCCCCCCCTTTCTGCGGTGTTAGCGTGTTACGTCACATCCTTGTTTTTAAACTTCCAAACTTGGCCCCTGAGAGTTCTCACCCATTACGTTTCTGTCCAGCGTCATATGTGTTTCCCTTCTTTAAAAAAAAATTAAAAATAATAATAAAAGGGTGGCAACTGCGTCGTCTCCAAACGTGTTGTGAGATTGGATTATCTCCCGCTGTCGATTAGCCCACCGAAGAAGAAGACGTGGTGATGTGAAGTCATACATTTTCTGTCGAGTTAAGTCAATACATCTCGTGGTGTAGAAAGGTTGTGCTCGTAGGGGCCAGCGAGAGGCTCGAAAGGGATAAGGCTGGATAAAGAACACAGCTGGTTTGATACGAGGGGGGAAAAGGCCCCATTGGCACACCAGGGGCCCTTTGGCAGCAATAACCCGGATGGAAACTGCTTGAGTTGGGTACTGCCGTGGCGGCTTGAACTTGTCCCCTAGAATGCGCTACGGATGCCAAGCCTGGTCGGTTTTCCCGGTCAAATTCTGCAGACTACGGGTGTGAACTGAGTGCATTCGTCTTCCTCTCCGCTTCCTGATGGTCCCAGCTTGACCTCTGCTCTCAGTTGCCGAATCACCGGAAGAGTCTCATATTTCAATCTAGGAAACGGAGTGCGCCCCTCTCGCGTTCCTCTCTCCTATTTAAAACGGAATGTGCTCAAAACTTTTGTTTAACCAGGGGAGCCGACCCACAGGAGCCGGCCCACAGGAGCCGGCCCACTGGAGCCGGCCCACTGTCCCTGGGATGGGTTTGGAGGCGGGAGCAGAGTTTAATTGTTTTTTTGTTTTTTTTGAAGTATGAAAAGAATTTTTTAAAATTTAAATATGTTCTTTTAAAGATGAGTTTAAACGCACTAAAAATAGAAAATAACTTTAAAATTCTTAAAATTCATTACGCAAATGAGTATAAGCAGATCGGTAGTAAGGCAGTATTATGAAGCCGTACTGTCCCTTAGTTTTAATATAATATTATTGCCACATCCAGTACTGTCCCCTAGTTTTACTACACTAGTATTGCCACAATATTATCACCATACTCCGTACTGTCCCCTAGTTTTACTACACTAGTATTGCCACAATATTATCACCATACTCCGTACTGTCCCCTAGTATTGCCACAATATTATCACCATACTCCGTACTGTCCCCTAGTATTGCCACAATATTATCACCATACTCCGTACTGTCCCCTAGTATTGCCACAATATTATCACCATACTCCGTACTGTCCCCTAGTATTGCCACAATATTATCACC